GCCTCGCGCTGCACGTAGCTCCTGAAGCCTTGCTCCTCAGCTCGCTGGCCGATCTGACCGCCCTGCTCGTCGGCGGAGAGACGCCGCGGCCGCGCGCTGGAGCTGCCGAGCAGCAGGCCTCCAAGGTCAGGGTTCTGCTTTTGGGCCTTGCACCTGGGAGCACATAGGCCAAATGGGCCTCTGACTCGGCCTTGTGCGAGAGGAATGGGCCCACGGTTTCTGAATTAATCGCTGCATATCTTTTTATTTTGAATTCCATCGCTGCATATCTTTGGTACACACAGGGCCGGGGAGTCCTCGAAATCACTAACAGTTTTCCTAAAGCACATCTAGATGTGTCCTAAATATTGCACATCCAAGTCCTCTGCCATTGATTTTACATGAAGATTCCTGCAAGCATTTTCATTAGCCATTTTTTTGTTCTTTCTAGTTTGATAGTTAATTAGATGTGCAATAACTAGAGCACATTTAAATATACCCTAAACAGGCCTAATCATTTTTTTGAGGGAAAATCCTTGTGGCATTTTATTCAATTTGGGAAAGTGTTACATCAAAGATTACATGAGGTAATATGAAAGAAGGCATCTCATCTAACCATTCTTCACATATTTTTTAATCATAGCATCGCCTAGCTAGGAAGTGTGCAACTCTGTTTACTTCTCTCGGACAATGAGCAAAAGAAATATTCGGGATGCCATGGGCCAGATGAAAACAATCAACAAGGGTAGCTGAGTAGGGGCTCCAAATTTCTGTCTCTCCATTACATGCATATACCAGTTCTTCACAGTCTGATTCTACTTCAACATTCCTCCACCCCCCCCCTGCATAAACCTGCCGTAGACCCAAGGGAAGAGCAATTGCTTCAGCTGATTGTGCACTAAGAGTGTTATCTATAAGCTCTGAGACCCCGACAATCGCTTCTCCATGGCAATTACGAAGAATATCAGCTGCAGCCCCACTCCCGTCCTCGAAGAAGGACGCATCCACATTCAGTTTGTACGACCCAGGAGCTGGACGTCGCCATCGAGCTTCAGAAGTTACCGCAGTTGGACGTGTCGCGTGATTTGAAGTTATAGCTTGGATAGCAAACGAGGAACTTGGTGCAGGCTTGACATTCACCCCCTTTACAACTTCACGGCGTTCCCACCAGATGTACCATGCACCAACAGCAACCGTTTCTTGGAGCCCCAGTTGTCCCAAGACAGGAGATTTTTTCACCGGATTTCTGAGTAAATCCTCCATTACCACTGAGCCTGAGCGATCAGTGCGAATAGATGCATCTATGATCTCATCCAAACCCAAGGACTTCCAAACCTGACGTGCACGATCACAAGTGAAAGCCAAATGGCGAATATCCTCTGGTCCTTGGTGACATATAGGACATGAAGGTGAGACTTTGATATGTCTACTTCGCAATACTCCCACTCCAGGTATGATTTCATGTAGTGCTCGCCAGACAAAAATCTTTATCTTGCTTGGAACTTGTAGTTTCCAAAGAGTCTCCCAAACAGGGTTGTTTGCTGATGTCTCGGCTGGGTCCTTTCTCATTCTTGGGCCGAATTGGTGCTCCCACTCGACATAGTATGCTGACCGAACCGAGAAACAATTTTTTTTGTGACATTCCATGCCACAAAATCATCCAGTAAATGGGTAGATAATGGAATCTTCAAAATCCGTTGAACATCAACACCAAAGAATATAGACCGAACCAAGGTTTCATCCCTCCATCCTGTTCCTGGATTAATAAGTTCATCAACAGTGGTCAACAAGATATTACCCCTTGGCGTGATAACCTTCCTTGTAGGACTTTGTGGGATCCAGTGATCCGTCCAAATATTTATTTTGGCACCCGTCCCCACTCGCCAGATATGCCCTCTCTTGAAGGTTTGAAGACCCGCCACAATGCTCTGCCATGTAAAAGATGAGCCCTTCTTTGGGCCTGCCATAAGCAAATTTCCACCTGGATAATACTTTGCTCTAAGAACATGTGCACACAAAGTATCAGGGTGCGTTACTAGCCGCCAACTTTGCTTAGCAAGCATAGCAAGATTGAAAGCATGTAAATCTCTGAATCCCATGCCTCCTTTATATTTTGGGAGACACATCCTCCACCATGCAAACCAGTGCATCCTCTTGTGCTCTTCTTTGTCTTCCCACCAAAAAGCAGACATTGCATCAGTAATCTCCTTGCACACTTGCTTTGGGATTTTGAACACAACCATAGCAAAAACTGGAATGGATTGTATAATTGCTTTGAGTAGGATCTCCTCCCCCCCCCATAGATAATTTTTTCTCTTTCCATCCTTTTAGCCTGTCAATGATTCTTTCAACCAAATACTCAAAACTATCACTCTTATCTAGTCCTACCATGGAGGGTAGTCCCAAATATTTATCTGAGATGGCTTCGGTCATAATATTTAGCTCTGTACATATTTGTGCTCTCACACCCACTTCCACATTAGGGCTAAAGGAAATACTACTCTTGCCTGCACTAACCAATTGGCCTGAGCTTGCACAATATTCATCTAACACTTGTCTCAATGAGGTTGCATTAATCATATCTGTTTTCATAAGGATAAGGGAATCATCAGCAAGCAGACTTAATCATTAATTAAGGAGCACTCTTTGCAAAGGTCACTCCCACTTCCTCAGGTTGCGACAATCTGAAAGTTTTTTCTTTTTTCTAGATCCGTTTATTTAAAAAGTTTTATCTCTTAAACCATGCGTCCAAATCTCGAACCGTTTTCATCATTGTATTCCTCGTGTCGAGATCTTCAAAACTAGATCCCATGTTGATAGGTTTTGATGAACTTTTCTTTTCATGAAAAAAACAAACCGGGCACACGTTTTTTTTCCTTTCCGAAAAGAGGCACGATTGTGCCTCTCGCGGAATCAAATTAATGCTTCTACCTATCACCCTCCGGGTGAGTTTGAGAGACAATACTTGGGAGGACCTCGTCGACCTGAAGAGTCGTTTTCCTTATGCACCGGCTTGGGGTCAAGTGCTTTCTCAAGGAAGGGGGAATGTTAGCGCTTCTACTTGGAATACTCGTGCCTTCTTTCTTTTTGGCCTTAGATTATCATAAGCGAGGAATGGTGTGTGGACTAACTATTCATGCGATAGGTCATACATTACAAGAGAAATTGAAATACATTAAAAATCTATTCGTTTCAGTTCCACTTTTTTTATTTCTTGCTGGCTATTCTTCCTACATATTTTTGGCCGTCTATCACAGTTTAGCTCCTAGATCTTGAGTTAGGCGTAGCTACTTCATGGCCCTTATGAGTTGGGCCACACACGTCTGTGCTTCCACAAGAAGTAACATCTGCCTTTCGCAGAAGAAAAAACATTTTTTTCCATTTCCGAGAGGCACGGCTCTCGCGGAAGCAAACTCGTGCCTCCCGTGGAAAGGAAATTTTTTTTGCGTTTTTTCCATTTCCACGAGGCACGGCCGTGCCCTCTCACGGAAGCAAAAAAGCATTTTGTCGCACAAATTTTTTTGGAACTTTTTTTGTTCTATAGCTAAGAAAGACCGGTGAAAAATTGAAAAGCCAAAAAACAAAAAAAAATCTAAAAAGTCAAAAACGCGTGCAAAAAAATAAAAATAAAAAAATCCAAAGGGAACGCCCAAAGCGTGACATGCGGCAGCGGCTGTGGCGTGCTCTCAGCCCAACCCAAGTGACCCTTGAGGAGGCTCCCGAAGGAGCGCTCCTTCATTAGTTGCTCCCAGGTGTCCTCCTCGCCAACCCATACACACATGGGCTTTTTTCTGTTAGAATAGTTTAGGGTTAACATAAATAAGATCTTGATCTCAAGATTAGAACACCATAGATAAAGAGCGGAACCGTTATCAAGAACCTGAGATATCGGCCGTGGCCATTGGCAAAGACGCATCCTCTGCCTCCTAGATGTAGGCATGGTGAAGAGTAGCAGTAGTCCAAGAGCGCCACTAGCACGGCCCTTGTGCCATCCGTTGGTGGAGATGCATCAGCTGGTCGGAGTAGATGCTGTTAGCACTGCCCTGGAGGTGGCCAGCAGTGATAGTCAATCTTTGTCGCCTTTAGCACCTCATAGGATTGGTTGTTGGAGAGAGGACGTGGCCTACCATGTAAAATCGTTAGTTACAAACCGGAGGGGTCCTTTTCCTTTTAAAATAGGTGCTAGGGAGGCGGTATTGAGACCAAGTCATTGGTTTGATGCCCCCGATCAGGGCACGTACGTAGGATGTTTAATTCCCTTTTATCTCTCGGTTTGTTATGACTAGAGACCAGCATTCTTCCCCTTGATTGTAAAGTTAACAAACTCCATAGTCCCACTCTTAACAGATATAATATTCAATGGTTAATGAAGTTTCATTGAACCTCGATACTCACAGTATACCATTCTATCTCTAAAT